GCATACCACACGGGACACACTGTGGACAGTGTCTTCAGGCAGAGGCACAGAAGATTTCGGGTCTGGGGACTTGATCGTCCAGGAACATGGGCTAGATATTTGAGCAACATAGGGAGAAATTGCGGGTGAAAGAAAATAATCAGAAATTCAAACTCAAGAGTTAAAAAAGATACAAATGGGACATTTTGCAAAGGGTCTGAATACTTAGCACCATGTGATATTTCAGTTTTTCTTTTTTAATAAATCTGCAAAAATGTCAACAATTCTGTGTTTTTCTGTCAATATGGGATGTTGTGTGTACATTAATGAGGAAAAAAAATTAACTTAAATGATTTTAGCAAATGGCTGCAATATAACAAAGAGTGAAAAATTTAAGGGGGTCTGAATACTTTCCGTACCCACTGTATATATATATATATATAATAATCAATCAATTTTGAAACATTAAAGATGTTGTTTCCTTTGGAATATCAGCTAATATTCATCATCTCATTTATCATGAAATTATTTATTTTTATAAAACAGAGAGTTCCGGTCCTTGATTCTGATTGGTTGAGCCAAGTTCGAAGCGGTTGTAAATTACTCTACAAACATACACCTTTGTTTACTTCTGTGTGTTGCTCGGCAACCACTTTGTTGGAACCACAACCGTTTCTGAGGAAAGAATACTGTTTTTATTAATATCATACACTTTATTTGCTCTGTTTTATTCTGTGAAACCTTACTACGTATATGGAATAACCGTTTTATAAAAGCAATAATCCCTGTGAAGCCATGGTTTACAGTGAATTTATAACAGCTAAGGGGCGTTGTTAGGCATGACGCAAAGCTGTAAATTCACTGTAAACCACGGTTTCTTGGGGCTTATTGCTTTAATTTATTTATTCAGACCACATCTCAAACAGAGGCAAGTTTATCGTACACTTATCTTAATTTCATTATTTCTTGCATAATTATTATTTTTTTGTATAGTTTGTAACAGTTTTTGCAGTTTCATGCAGTGCATTCCAGACATTACATGTTCTAGCTATTTCACATCCCACCGGTTCTACCGCAAATTACCTCAGAGAGCATCTTGCAGTGGCTTCTCACAGTCTGACTGCAGTTGCTTGGCTCAGAGTCACGGTAAAGGCAGCCTGTGAGACAGCTACTGTTGAATTCTGCATCATATGCCCTTAATTTATACACATCGCCACATCCCAGAGACAGATCTGAGAGGAGAGATGGTTAATATCCTCCACGGCTATGACTGAGGAGGTGCTGAGGGTCCCGGAGCACGAGCCAGAGCGCTGATCTGCTTGTGACACAACTGAGAATACAAGAACATGTACACTTTACTTTCTCAGTGCATATTACTGGTCTATAAACTAATCTTTGGTGTCTATAATTCCAAAGAAACAAAAAAATTGCACAAACATACTTGAACCCAAATAAAGCAATACAGCACAATGCTGCCTTTTGAACACACAACATTAATTTATAACAAACCACATAGTAATGGTGTTCAAATAGTAACAATAGCATAGAGTTTGATGTGCCATGCATCTGTTTCAGTGCAACAAAGAGAAATACAGTGGAAGTGAGCAAACGTGCTCCGGTTGTTGCCGCATTATCCTGTCAAACTCTTCAAAGTTATGTGAAATATTCTGACAATGCTCTAAATCTTTGCATCATAACATTCAGAAGTCAACAGAGTAAAAGAAGAGTCATGCACATGTGAACTACTAAATGAAACAAAAACAGCCATGAATATCAATATGACATCCAATTTTAGGAAAGCAAATAACTCACGTTTCACATTGACGCTGACCTTTGGAGACTCAGTAGGGATTGGACTGTCATATCCTGAAAAAAAAGGCAAGAAACTTTATACAGTATCTTGATAAACTGTTGCATCTATATTAAATTGCTGGAATAATATTTTTAACAAACTAATGAGAAAGTGAGTATTTAATGAAAAAAAGTGCATTCTGTGCATCCACTGAAAGACTTCAGCTATACTACATTTCATGACAAGTGAATGGTTAATTACATAAAGTTTTACAAGCTCTCCTTCGGCTCCTTCGTCTCCTTCGTCTCCGCTGGTCCCATCCAGCCCTCCTTCGTCTCCTGTGTCAGAAAACTTCACTCCTCCAGAGCGCCCCCAAGTGTCCGCTCCTCGAAAGTGCCCTCCAGAGCGCCCTCAAGTGCCTGCTCCTCCAGAGCGCCCCCCAGGATTCCTAGTTTTCCCCAAGAAACATTTTTTTGGGGGGGGGCATATACCCATGGCTGAGCCGGCTAAGGCCACAGAGGATCCACCATGGCCTCCTGAGTCCCCTGCTCCGCCATGACAACCTGAACTGCCTGCTCCGCCGTGGCCTCCTGAGTCCCCTGATCCGCCGTGGCCTCCTGAGTCCCCTGCTCCACCGTGGACTCCTGAGTCCCCTGATCCGCCGTGGCCTCCTGAGTCCCCTGATCTGCCATGGCCTCCTAAGTCCCCTGATCCGCCAAGGCAACCTGAACTGCCTGATCCGCCGTGGTCCCCTGAGCTCCCTGATCTGCCGTGGTCCCCTAAGAAACATTTTTTTGGGGGGGGGCATATACCCATGGCTGAGCCGGCTAAGGCCACAGAGGATCCACCATGGCCTCCTGAGTCCCCTGCTCCGCCATGACAACCTGAACTGCCTGCTCCGCCGTGGCCTCCTGAGTCCCCTGATCTGCCATGGCCTCCTAAGTCCCCTGATCCGCCAAGGCAACCTGAACTGCCTGATCCGCCGTGGTCCCCTGAGCTCCCTGATCTGCCGTGGTCCCCTGAGCTCCCTGATCTGCCGTGGTCCCCTGAGCTCCCTGATCTGCCGCGGCCTCATAAGTCCCCTGATCCGCCATGGCCTCATAAGTCCCCTGATCCGCCATGGCAACCTGAACTGCCTGATCCGCCATAGTCCCCTGAGCTCCCTGATCCGCCCTGGAGGCTCTCCTTGTCTCCGCCCTGTTCCTGTCCTGCACCAGCCTCCAGGGCGCCCGCCCACACTACCCGATGTTACCCTTCTGGGAGGGGGGCGATATCTGTCACGTGTTTGTTTCTGCTTAGTTCCTGTCTGCCCTTATTTGGGTCAGTGCCTGTTCTCATTTAGTTAATCATCATTCATTAGTTACCACCTGTGTTGAATTAATCATCTTATTAGTCCATTGTTTGGTTTTGTATAAATAGCCCTGCCTTTCCTCAGTTTCTTTGTCCTGTCTCCGTCATGTAAAGAGGTTGTTTTCTCCTGGTTTTTCCCAAGTGGATTTATTAAAAGACTGTTTATTGGATATCTGCCTCCTTCGTACTCCTTCAAGCTCATTCGACTGGCAATCCGTGACACAAATGTAGATCAAGGAAATCTTTTTTTTTTTTTTTCAGGGGGCCCCAAACACCCCAGGAAAACTTAGTTATTAGACATTGGTATTTCTAAAACCCTGCATGTCCATGATTTTCTAATAATAATGACAAACATTATTTTCTATAGCGCCTTTAAAAGTTACATCTCAAAGTGGTTTGCAAGAAGAAGATAAAATAAAAGAGAAATACAAACATATAAAATAAATGCGTTCATCAAAAAGTGCATTCAAATACACAATACAAATAAAGCATGCTATCAAAACAAATTAAGAAATAATTAAACCATAAAACAATCACAAAATAATCAAATAAAAGCTACCCTAAAAAGGTAAGTTTTAAGATTTAAAAACCCTAAGAGTTCAGAGACTTCCGTTGTTTTGGAGCTAATGAAGAGAAAGCCCTATCACCCATAGATTTTAAACAACTTTTATTTATTTGAAACATTATTTGATTATTTAATTGTTTTTTTATTTTATTTAGCAAGGACACATTACATTAATATAAAATGACAATAAAGACATTTTACATTTTTACAAAATATTCTATTTTAAATAAATGCTGTTTAAACTTTCCGTTCATCAAAATATCCTCACAAAGATACTGTAGTTTTTCACAGATCATTAAGCAGAATAATAATTTTCAACTGTGATATTAATAACAAATTTTAGAGTACCAAATCAACAACTAAATTTTTAAAAAAAAAGCTTGTAGACCAACTTTAAGTTGGCTTGAAAAAGCCTAGACTGAAAGTTTGAAGTAGTTTTAAAGCTTGAAGTTTGAAGGTTTTCAATTTGAAACAGTACTAAAAGGTTTTAATGAGATAGATAGATAGATAGATAGATAGATAGATAGATAGATAGATAGATAGATAGATAGATAGATAGATAGATAGATAGGTCTCCATTCTTCATGAGCTGGATGAAGGTTGTGTTCAGTTCAGTACTGCTGTGCTTCACTCTGCGTCACAGAGAGGAAGTGAAACTTCTTGTAGTCTGCATGTTGTTGTTTTTTCCTGAAACCACACATTCCATATAAACCATTACAAAAAGGTTTTTTTTTTTTCAAGTGTTCTGTTAGTATACTTATTTTAAACAAAATAAGAGTGTATGTCCTCAGGACAACATGAATTTTCATAATCGTCCGCAAATGTTTCCCTCACAATTATTAATAACTTAATAGCTTTGTGTAATTGGCCTGGATGCGAGAGTGTATAAAACTTTAACTTCTTAGAAAATCAAGCTCAAGTATCGCGTTCACTGGCCTCAGCTCCACACGTGTGTTTACACTCTCATGCAGCGCACGTGGCAGCACTAGCCTCTCTCCCATTGGCCAGTCCGTGTTTGAGCTCCACACAGCCAGGAAATGCACACTACAGAGTGTCAAGGAAAGCCTAATATGAAAGAAACGTAAACAAAAATGATGGTTTAAAGTACGTTCAAAGAATAATAAAGTCTAAACTTTTCTTTCGAATGGATGTTTCAAATTTTGAAACTAAATATTCATAGATATTTAATTACAGCTAAGATTGCGCAAATAAGTGTCTTGTTCTTGTGACAAACGACCTAAAATAACAAAGGTAATTAAACAGGAAAACCAGAGCACATAAGTGCGCGGGGATCACACGCACGGAGCGCATGCGCACCCACAAGCCGCTCAACAACTACTTGGCGCCGGCGCGAGAGTCACAATCAACTTGCTCCGGTAAGAAGTGCAATGTCATTTTTACGCACTTGTTATTTTTATTGAATGCATTTATATAATGCATTTATTTTGTGGTTGTGCAGCAGCTGTCGAATGTACCGACTTTAGTACTTATTTTTTTATTTATATAATTGCATTTAGAATTGCACTTCATCTTTGTTCAGTCCTAACATAATTAATTACACCACCAGAATGTATTGATTTGCTGTTAGCTTTACATGGTATTTAGCTACATTACGTCTCGTACTGTGCATGGCATGCACATCTTGTTTGTTGCATATAAGTTACCAATGAGCAATGCTAACAAGCTAAGTTGTGGAGGGACAGTATTGAAATGGGAAATAACCTCACATAAATATGAAATGGCTTTGCCATTCAGAATTATAAACTTATGTGTCATGCATTTATAATTCAATAAATGTTTACTTAATTCGCGCGTCCAGTAAGTTATAGCCAGAGAGTAATTTGGCGCGCGACGGTATTGATAAGTTAGATCAAATGCAGCTGAATCACACAACTGCGATTAAATTGGTATGGTATCAGTAAAGTGACTATATTCGACCTGAGCGTAATGCAACTTATTTTTTATTGTCAAACACTATTTGCTGTTTAATAATGCCGCTTATATACTGTAATATTTGCATGATAGGCCAACTGCTGCTGAAGAAGGCAACATTCACAAGAACTTACATCTTACTTGCATGCCGAAGGTCATGGCCAGAAGAAGGTAAGAACAGTGTTATTACTGTGATTTCAGTGTAATTAAAGTTGTGTTTGGTGAAGACTTCCCTTGCCTTTTATTGTTTTTATACTGAGATCATAATATTTTCTATACCCAAGACGTGAACCTAACCCTAACACAAACCATTCATATCATCATTTTCATTACGATATTATTGTGTATGTTTATTAAGCTATTATGACCATTGGCTACTTCCCAAAATACTGGTAATTTCAGGGTTTTCCATGCTTGTTGGAACATTTGATAGCATAACCTGAGCAACTTTCTTCTCTCCCTGTGTCTATTAGTGGATGCCAGCAAGCGAGATCTGTCAATGGAAACATACGTAAGATGGCAAGAGTAAAGAAAGAGGTATGTTTAGTTTGTATTTGGTCAGTGTGTATGCGGTACTGTTTGTGCATGTACATATATCAGCTGTAATGTATGATTTTTTGTTTTGTATTGTTTTGCAGTGCAACAAGAGGAGAAAATCACAAAAAAAAATTAATGACTCTAAGGTATTTCACATAAACAAAGTACATATACCGTGGCTTATTAAGACCACTTAAATACACAGCTTCACGGTCTTGAGTGAATACAGCTGTCGACGCCTTTCTAATTAGTACAGCAAAGCCTATAGCACACAAATGGCTTGAAATCTAAATTACTGCGGTACAGTTTGCCACTTAAGCGCAAATTAACAGGTAGCAAAAAGTCCATGTTTCATCTTTATATGTTGATCTTTATGTAAATGTGTTGTCTGTTCAGAATGTATGGAGGCAGAATGGTCTGAACAGCGTGAATGAAGTTGTGTCTGACTCGTCTGATCAAACTCCAGATCCACAACCATCTCCACTCCCAACACTCAGGTGTGTTCCTGTAGTGAAATTACATTGTGACATTCATTACAGAACAACAACAAACTGACAGAGAGGCAGTATTAAAGTGAAGTGCAATGGCATCTTACGCACAGAAGCCATCGGCACATGCCGCTATTTTAGTGGCACATCTGATTTTCAGTGCATGTGCCACTAAAACTTGTGTGACGCAAAAGTTTGTGCCTCCTCTAGTAGTGACTGACACATGAGGAGTCAGCAGCTATACTGATGTAATTGAGACACAACATGAAAGATTTTAGTAGCTGTGATTAAAAAAGAAATGCTTGAAATTTCATTAGTAAATTAAGTAGGACATAAGGAATAGTTTTGTGTACTAACTTATTTTACACTGTAGAAAAAAGGACGAACCTACATACCCTAAATGTAGTCATACTTTTAGATAAATGTGACCCTGGACCACAAAACCAGTCATAAGGGTCCACTTCTCGAAATTGAGATTTATACATCATCTGAAGCTGATTTGTTAGAATAGGACAATATTTGGTCGAGATACAACTATTTGAAAATCTGGAATCTGAGGGTGCAAAAAAATCTAAATACTGAGAAAATCGCCTTTAAAGTTGCCCAAATGAAGTTCTTAGCAATGCATATTACTAAGCAAAAATTAAGTTTTGATATATTTACAGTATGAAATTTACAAAATATCTTCATGGAACATTATCTTTACTTAATATCCTAATGAGTTTTGGCATAAAAGATCATTTTGACCCATACAATGTATTTTTGGTTATTGCTACAAATATACCCCAGCGACTTAAGACTGCTTTTGTGCTCCAGGGTCACAAATGTCAATTAAATATATTTATAATGTTTGTAATTTATATGTTTGTCAAAAAATGTTTTGAGTGGCACGTGGAACTAAATGTTTATACGTATAATGCAACAGTATAATTATATGTTGTTGATTATGCAAATGGCCCGTGCTAAGAAACATTAAATTTATCTTGGGTCACTACAAATACAGGGGCATAACAGTAGCATCCATAACTGTAAAGCTTTATTTTTGCGTAATGCTGCATGCATGTCTGTACTGTAGGTGTCAGTGTAAGATAGTTTATAAGTAGCTTATAGCCCAAAGTATGAGTTAGTTGACCTGACAAGATAAACAAAAACAAACGGCTTCTGTGCGTAAGATGCCATGTCAGTCCAGCAGCAGTTATTAGCATTAAGTGGCAAGAGTCACCATCATCTCGATGCCACTGAACTTCAGGTTGTATATTTTTCTGTATCCTGTTTTTTTACTGATACATTGTCTGAAGTCTGTATTTCTGTTCTGTTTTGTTTTGGGGAAGTTGGGGCAGTTCAGAAGACGTCTGGATGAAAATGCTGAGTAAAGAGATAAAGTACGAACACAGCAAGAGCAGTTTAGACAGACACCCGTCACTGCGGCCCAAAATGAGAGCCATGCTGCTCGACTGGCTCATGGAGGTACTGCCACACGATCTGCTCTTCACACTAGATTCCTTTTATAATGTTTCACTGTATAGACTTCCATGAAGTGAGAGTTAGCTATTGTTACGATTAGGGCTGGGCGATATTGCTAAAAAATGTATAATGTATTTTTTATAACCTTTTTTAAAACAAAGAGCAATAGAAAAAATGTTTAAATTTAACCACTGTATTTTTAAATTAACCCAATTTATTGAAACAAACAACAGATATTTTTTTGTTTTAACAGTCAAACACAAAATAAAAATTAAACATATCTAATTTCTAATGTTTTATATGCAGATTAAACTTAAGGAAATTTTTGCATGATGCATCACCGCATCTCGTGCTCCACTGATGACGCTCCCTGATGCACACCTAACATTTGATTGTACTATTTTTGCATTCAAATGCAAATGTTTATTTTAAATTCAACTAATATTCTTTTTTTTTTTTTTCACAATCTCATCACAGGCAGGCACAGCACTCAATTCAGCATGTGTTCGTGTTTGTGTGTGCGGTCTGCGTCACTCATAGCACGTGCCTATATCGTGCGCTATATCGAACATTTTTTGTATCGTTATCGAAGAAGATGTACCGTCGATAAATATCGATACCGCTTTATCGCCAAGGCCTAGTTACGATCCCCCTTTTTGGTCTAGGGGCGGAAAAGGAATGGTAACAAATGTTGCGAGGAGAGAGTGAGAGAACTCCCATCTCCAGGTCCCAGGACAGGCACAAATTAAAACACCACCAGGTTTCGAAGTAAAAAGATACAGCAGGTTTTATTTTAGATAATCAGTGGGATACATACATAAGACTTCAGGAGGGGAAATGGCCAAAATAACAAACAAAAGATACACTTACTGAGGGTTTGTGGACATAACTTACCTAGCCTCAAAAGAAAGAGAAACCAAAGACAAATCCTTTCCTTACTCCCTCTCTATTTAAAAACCAGGAGAATACATGAATTATCAAATTAAATGGCATCCTCCTCCCTACAAATGATCCCACAACAAAGATATAACCAAGTTTAACAATAGATGAACTTAAAAGAAAATCTGGCCACACAGGCCAGAACTACACAGATACATACAACCAAGGTGTTCACTTTAACACTTCAACAAGTTCAAGGTAACGATAAACAGAGTTACCATACCTAAATAAGTTAGCACATAACTAGCATAACTTTCACTTAACCACTAGAGGTTACAACAACATGCACAACAAAAGAATCAAGTGCTAGGACTAGGGCTGGGTATCGTTCAAAAATGTTCGATATCTATACCGATACCTTGACTTGGATACCAGTTCCTGAACGATACTTTTTTCTATACCAATTTTATGAAATCAATTTTAACAAGATTACATTATCTAAAAAAAAAACTTTTGGTTTTATTTTTCAGCTTGTTGATGTTTATACAAACTCAAAGAATCTTCTCCTGAGCCACTGCACAAAGGAACAAAATGTAACCAACACAATAAATCAGTGCAAATAGTTTTAATAAAGCTCAAATAGTCTTCAGTTTACACATCTGTTACATTTTGGCTACATTTACACTAGTTAGTGTTCTTTTTAAATGCATAGCTCGGACAGAATCATGATTTCTATTTATTTTCCACTGATTTACTGATGAGCATTAGCAGCTTCCAGCGCTGTCTGCTTGTGTTCTCTCTTCCATGATCGCTGCTCTGACTCACATATTTATGGTGGCCGAGAAGTGCAGAGCAAATCACAATTCTGAAAACAAAATAACAAATTACAAACGCAAATGCAAGTCTAAAAAACAAAATAACAATTCAGAAAGCACAACAACAATTCAGAAAACATTATAACAAGTCAGAAAACACAATGACAAATTGGAAAACAAATTAACAAGTCAGAAAACACAATGACAAATTGGAAAACAAATTAACAAGTCAGAAAACACAATGACAAATTGGAAAACAAATTAACAAGTCAGAAAACACAATGACAAATTGGAAAACAAATTAACAAGTCAGAAAACACAATGACAAATTGGAAAACAAATTAACAAGTCAGAAAACACAATGACAATTCAGACAAACCAGAAGAGGTAGGTATAGTTTGAGACAGCGCCATTGGTTTGAGATTACTCACCGCTGACTGGACGAGACATCTGTCAATCAACGTATACAGGGACGAACCAGCCTAAGAACAGCAGAGTCGTGGTAGAAAGTTTGGAGATGGTATTAAAGTAGCTCAGATTTAATGTATTGTATGAGTTGCCCTTACTCTGGAATAAAAAATACTGGGTGTCTATTTAGATTTAGTTAAATGCAGTTGTAAATCATCAGCTCCAGTGGCTTAGATGGATAAGTGCGTGCCCTTGGCTATTTGACGCGATCGACCTGGGTTCGATCCCGCCATTTGCCGAACTTTTTTTTCTCCCTTTTCAAATCTCGTATCACATCGTAAAGGCATTTATTTTCAATAAAAATTAAGGAAATAATCAAAAAGTTTAAAATAAAGTATGGGGTAGAGTTAGGGTAGGTGTAGGGAGGGCTTTATTGTACCAATAAGGTGGCATCCATTTAATAATTAAAATTATAATTTACACTCAATACGTTATTATTGCATACTGTTTTATAATGTACTA